AGGCAGACTTAATGTAGGAAGAGGAGTGGTAAAGAGTATGTATTTATTACGATTGATTATGTTGGCCTTCTATGATGGGGCTACAGAACTGATGGACAGGGGTAGAGCAGTTGATGTCATCTACCTGGACTTGTGCAAAGCATTCGACACTGTCCCACACAACATCCTTGTCTCTAAACTGGAGCGACATCAATTTGATGGATGGACCACTCAGTGGATAAAAAACTGGCTGGATGGCTGCATGCAAAGAGTTGTGGTCAATGGCTCAGTGTCCAGCTGGAGACCAGTAACGAGTGGTGTCCCTCAGGGATCAGTGCTGGGACTGGTCTTGTTTAACATCTTCGTCACTGACATGGACAGTGGGATTGAGTGCACCCTCAGCAAGTTTGACGATGACACCAAGTCTTGTGGTTCAGTTGATATGCTGGAGGGAAGGAATGCCATCCAGAGGGACCTTGACACGCTTGTGAGGTGGGCTGATGCCAACCTCATGAGGTTTAACCATGCCAAGTGCAAGGTCCTACACCTGAGTCGGAGCAATCCCAGGCACAGCTACAGGCTGGGCAGAGAAGAGATTCAGAGCAGCCCTGTGGAGAAGGGTTTGGGGGTGTTGGTCGATGAGAAAATGAACATGAGCTGGCTTAAGTGTGCGCTTGCAGCCCAGAAAGGCAACCGTATCCTGGGCTGCATTAAAAGGAACGTGACCAGCAGGTCAAAGGAGGTGATCCTGCCCCTCTACTCTGCTTTTGTGGGACCTCACCTGGAGTATTGTGTGCAGTTCTGGTGTCCTCAACGTAAAAAGGATATGGAACTATTGGAACAAGTCCAGAGGAGGGCCGCGAGGATGATCAGGGGACTGGAGCACCTCCTGTATGAAGACAGGCTGAGGAAGTTGGGGCTGTTCAGCCTGGAGAAGAGAAGGCTGTGAGGAGACCTCATAGCAGCCTTCCAGTATCTGAAGGGGGCCTATAGGGGTGCTGGAGAGGGACTCTTCATTAGAGAGGGGTAACAGGTTCAAACTTAAACAGGGGAAGTTTAGGTTGGATTTAAGAAGGAAATTCTTTCTTGTTAGGGTGGTGAGGCCCTGGAATGGGTTCCCCAGGGAGGTTGTGAATGCTCCATCCCTGGCAGTGTTCAAGGCCAGGTTGGATGAGGCCTTGGGTGATATGATTTAGTGTGAGTTGTCCCTGCCCATGGCAGGGGGTTTGGAACTAGATGATCTTAAGGTCCTTTCCAACCCTAACGATTCTATGATTCTATGTTTGCATATTCAGTAGAAAATAGCTTCTAAAATATGGTGGTGTCGTGGTTTAAACCCAGTCAGGTAGCTTGTTCACTCACTCCCAGTGAGTGGTGCCGAGCTGACAACAATCGAGGTCCGTGTCCGTCTTCCCCCCCCGCCTCCCCGCACCGGGGCTCTCCCCTTCCCCGCTCCCGGAGGAACGGGGAGGAGGATCGAGAGAGTGCAACTCCTACGGGTTGAGACAAAAACAGTCCAGCAACAAATCACCACCGCTACTATCAGCTAAAACAATGATAAGGGAAAATAACAAGGGAAGAGAATACGATACCACCGGCCAAGAAAACGAGTTCCACCCGGAAGCCCCTGTCCTTCCGGGTAACTCCCAGTAACGTGCTGTGGTATGGAATACCTCCCCGGCTAGCCCGGGTCAGGCGCCCCGTCTCTGCTTCCTCACAGCCTCCCCTCCTCCCTGGCAGAGCATGAGCCTCACAAAGTCCTTGGCCAAACCAAAATATCCTTGTTATCAGCTCTGCTCCCGAGCTGAAAGTCAAAGCACTGCACTGCACCAGTTAACACAAAGGAAAAACATGACTGCTACTGCGGAACCCAGGACAGGTGGGTTTTTTGTTTGTTTTTTTTTTGAGGGGGGGGGAGGTTTACAGCAGTGAGTACTGTGCTTCAAAATGTGTCTTTGAAAACAACTTGGTGCTTAGTTTGTTGTTTAAAATAAAATCTCCTTGCATGTTCTGGTGAGTGTTTACAGGTGAGGAAGAGAGTGAAAGTAGCCACATCAGAGTGCCAGGTATATTAAAGTGGGAGGAAAACTAGTTACATGAGCTTTAAAACCCTGAAGCTAACATCCTTATTATTGCAAACTGGGCCATTGGCTCCATGCCATCTCAAAAGTGTGTCAGTCACAAGCTCCGTCTTTGCAGCAGTATTATTCTTTGAAAAGCTTTTAAATAAACAGCTGAGTGCCTCAAATGCTCTCACGGAGCATTTGAGAGCTGAAGGTTATGGGACTTCATAACAAACAGCAAACTGTAGCACAAAGCTATGTCTTTAAAGTGCCTTCATTTTCTGCCAGTAACACTTAATTATTCCAAGGCTAGTTTGGTTTAGTGTCTTCCTTGCCTGACTTTTGGCAGGTTTCAGGACCTCTGTGTTTGAACATAGAATCATAGAATAGTTAGGGTTGGAAAGGAACTTAATATCATCTAGTTTCAACCCCCCTGCCATGGGCAGGGACACCTCACAGAAAACCATGTCACCTAAGGCTCCATCCAGCCTGGCCTTGAACGCTGGCAGGGATGGAGCATTCATACCTTCCTTGGGCAATCCATTCTAGTGACTCACCACCCTCACAGTAAAGAACTTCTTTCTTATATCCAATCTAAACTTCCCCTGTTTAAGTTTGAACCTGTTACCCCTTGTCCTATCACTACAGTCCCTAATGAAGAGTCCCTTCCCAGCATCCTTGTAGGACCCCTTCAGATACTGAAAGGCTGCTATGAGGTCTCCTCACAGCCTTCTCTTCTCCAGGCTGAACAGCCCCAACTTTCTCAGCCTGTCTTCATACAGGAGGTGCTCCAGTCCCCTGATCATCCTCGTGGCCCTTCTCTGGGCTTGTTCCAACCGTTCCATGTCCTTTTTGTGGCTGAGGGCACCAGAACTGCACACAGTACTTCAAGTGAGGTCTCACGAGAGCAGAGTAGAGGGGCAGGATCACCTCCTTCGCCTGCTGGTCACGTTCCTTTTGATGCAGCCCAGGATACAACTGGTTTCTGGGCTGTGAGCACACAATGAAGCTGGCTCATGTTCATTTTCTCATCGACCAACACCCCCAAACCCTTCTCCACAGGGCTGCTCTGAATCTCTTCTCCACCCAGCCTGTAGCTGTGCATGGGATTGCCCTGACCGATGTGTAGGACCTTGCACTTGGCATGGTTAAACTTCATGAGGTTGGCATCAGCCCACCTTACAGGCATGTCAAGGTCCCTCTGGATGGCATTCCTTCCCTCCAGCATATCAACTGAACCACACAGACTTGGTGTCATTGTCAAACTTGCTGAGGGTGCACTCAATCCCACTGTCCATGTCACCGACTAAGATGTTGAACAAGACCAATCCCAACACCGATCCCTGAGGGACACCACTTGTTACTGGTCTCCAGCTGGACATTGAGCCATTGACCACAGCTCTTTGCATGCGGCCATTCAGCCAGTTCTTTATCCACCGAGTGGTCCATATGTCAAACTGATGTCTCTCCAATTTAGAGACAAGGATGTCATGCAGGACAGTGTCGAACACTTTGTGCAAGTCCATGGAACATGTCAAATAGGACAATAGTCTCCTGGTAGTTCATCCCTGAATTTACCATATTTTGCTGGCACAGAATGACTGTTCATAAACTCATGATTGGAGTATCCCTCCATCATGCCATCAGCAAAAGGGAAAAGAAGCACTTCTCTGCTCGTTTTGTTCAGCTGCTGCTTGATGAAAAATTGTCTAAATGCTAACCTTTCAGCTATTTGGGAAAGTACTTTTTTATGGCACTTACGTTCTTTTGTGTGAGGATGGGGTCTAGCACACCAGATTTCTTTTTACTTGGTTATGTCTTGCTTTCTTGTTGTGCTTAAGAAAAAATAAGCACCTCTTTCTCTTCCTTTCTGCCCCTCAGCAAAGCTTTGGGCAACTGTCTTCAGAAGAATTTAATGCTTTCCACACACAGCCTGGTAAAATTTTCATGGGCATGATTTTTGTAAAGGGAAGCAGTGAAGCATACATAGTCCCATGATGAGAATTCATCAGCCACTGATAGGGTAGGATTTTTGTAGTGCTTGCAAATTTAAAACATACTGTATTATTTAATTTAAATTATGCATTAAATGTTCTCTATCTTTAATCATAAAATCTTCAGTACTAAAATAAAAGTCTAATTGAGAAAGCCCCTGTCTACCCAATTGCCTTCTAATCGTCTGTGTTTACTGATGATAATACTCTTCTGCACATACACATAAGAACAAGCAAGGTTTTAATGCAGTAATTTATTTTTTTTTTTTTGGCTGTTAAAACTATTCTCTGTTGCCAGAGTAGATTAGATGGAATAATGCAAAATCTAGGCTCTTTTCTTTTGTAAGAATGACAATGCCAAGTATTCCCCTGTAGAGGAGGTGAATAGAGCTATAAAGCAGCAGCGTCACTTTTGCTTTTCAGTCAATCCACCCAATCTAATAGAAAATTAAGACCACTACTGAATTAAAATAACAATCTCTGTACAGTTTTGTGGGAAAAGTGAAGTTATTTCTGTGCAATACCGTAGGTTTCACTGTAAGTAGGTTCTACGAGGTTTGCAGAAACAAATAGCGTGTTAAAAGTGGAGAACAAATATGGAAAAATCTTGCTCAGGGATTTTTTTCCTAGAGAAGGGTGCTGAAGCCATAGTGAATGCCTAGGGGCACTATTGGGCGCTTCAGGAGGGGTTAGGTAAGACTTCTACATTGTAACATAGTATTTTGTCTACTAAACTCATATTATGTGTAGCATGCACTTACTGTAAAAAGGCAGCAAAATGAAAACAGTTTAAAAATTATCTAAAGATGGAAAGATTATGCAAGACTTACCGAATTGTCATCTTTCTGGTAACTTAAGAAGCCTCTATTTGGGTAGGTACTTAAAAAAGAGAAGTAAAACAGTAACAAACCAACAGGGCCAGACTTGAGCTTATCACTAATGTTTACTGTTTCCACATTCTCAGGGATATGAAGCCTTTCAGGAAGGCTTTCCAGAGGAAGAGCTAACAGACTGCTCTGAAGTCAATACAAACTTCTGTGAAAAAGCAGGGTTTGAAGGACCTGTGTTATAGAGCAACTGTTTTCAGGTACCTGCATTAAATCTCAGCCTTGCTTTTCTGCCAGCTGCTGCAGAGCAGAAGATTAGCAGACATGTCCACTGCACTCAAACAAGTCTTTAATAAAGACAAGACTTTCCGCCCAAAACGCAAGTTTGAACCTGGAACCCAGAGGTTTGAACTTCACAAACGAGCACAGGCGTCTCTGAACTCAGGCGTGGACTTGAAAGCAGCTGTGCAGTTGCCTAGTGGAGAAGACCAAAATGACTGGGTTGCTGTTCATGTTGTTGACTTCTTCAATAGGATCAACCTCATTTATGGAACTATCTGTGAATTCTGCACAGAGAAGACCTGCCCAGTGATGGCTGGAGGCCCTAAGTATGAGTATCGGTGGCAGGACGACATGAAATACAAGAAGCCCACAGCATTGCCAGCACCCCAGTATATGAATCTTCTTATGGACTGGATCGAGGTGCAAATCAACAATGAGGATCTCTTTCCTACAAATGTAGGTAAGTGCAAGAAAGAAGTCCTAAAGCATAAACTGCCTTTCATGCTGTGTACTAAGCATGTTCGCTTCCTACCCTCTTTTTTAGTGACTGTGAAATTCAACCCTTTAAACAGCAGGTGGGAAGGAGGAAGGTGTCTTGCAGGAATAGTGTCAAATGTATGAAGCGTTAACTGTGGCTTATTGTGAGGTTAATGATGGGGTATGTTAGCCTAAAATGTTATCATTCCATTTGTCCCTGGTAAGCCTCTCAGGTTAATCACTAAGGGTGGTCATATTGTGTTATTAGCTGGTTGAAAGCTAATTTACATTGTTGAAAGCTAGTTTACATTGTTTTGCGTTTTGCCTAGGCACTTAGGCACTTGTATCTGGTATAGAATGGATGGAGAGCAAAGCATAATTGGAGTGGTATCTTCCCTTAAAAGTATGTACAGTTGTGTGCTGTACAAGGCAGTGGAGAGTCAGGAATGCAGTGAACTCTGGCCTCCCACCCTCTCTTGATTTCCCATCCAAATCTGAGGACTGAGTAGTGAATTGTTCTCTAAAGTACTGTTTCTAAGACTATATGTAACTAACAAGCTTTGCTGTAGTTTAACCAGACAGCCCAGATGAGCTGCACAGTTTTCCTTTTATAATACTGTTCTTAGTTTTTCTGAAGAGTAGGGTGGATAGGGGGAAGTATCTTTGCTGGAATAGTTTCCTCTGCATGAAGAGAACTTTGCAGAAGATTTCATGTAGTGTAAACAGCCTGAATCTTTAGCTGTGGCTGCGTTTAATAAAACAACCCCCAGAATGTTGCACCTTAGAGATGTCAGTGTACCTGTGTATTTTTTGGCAGTTTTAGGTAATGAGTCCTGATTCACTTGTTGCAAGTCAGAAAGATGGGAGCTTGCTGTAGGAAATGTGAGATGTCATATATAAGTACTCAGCCCAGCTGAGTAACAATCAAGAATAATGCTCATAAATTAGTTCAGCCCAATATTTTGCAGTTTATGTGCAACTGCAGTCTGTGGTAAGTTGGTAGATGGCACATCAAGAGACTCTCTATCAGTATTTTCTGACCTTTAAAATAATCTTGTTCTTGGCCTTGACAGCTGTCTCTGCAGACAGACTTGTGGTTTGTTTGCCAATTCCTATCACTTTTTGTCGTGGTTTAAACCAAACCAGACAACTCGTTCACTCACTTCCCCCCTTCTTGCCCTCCCCTACTCCTGGAGGGAGAGAGAGGAGAGTCAAAAAGAATGCAACTCCCACGGGTTGAGATAAGAATAGTTTAGTAACTAAGGTATAACACAAATCACTACTGCTACCACCAATAATAATAATGATAAAGGAAATAACAAGGGAAGAGAATACAACACCTCACCACCAGCCAACCGCTAACTCGCCCCCCCCCCCCCGCCCAACCAAGCACTGACCCACACCTCCTCCAACCCTGCAGTCCACCAGCCCTTCCACGTAACTCCCAGTTAACCCCCCAGGCATGACGTGCTGTGGTATGGAATACCTCTTTGGTCTGTTTGGCTTCCCCTCCTCCCTGGCAGAGCATGAGGCTCGCAAAGTCCTTGGCCAAACCAAAACATCCTTCTTATCAGCTCTGTTCCCGAGCTGAAAGTCAAAACACTGCGCTGCACCAGCTACCAAGGAGAAAAATGACTGCTACTGCTGAACCCAGGGCACTTTTCTACACTAATGGGTAGAAAGAAGGCCTCCTAATATGTAATCTAAATCTACCCTCCATAGGTTTAGTATTAAAGCTTTATTAATATTAAAAAATTAACCTTTATTTTCACTCAGAAAAATTAATGATGGTGAAAATAATGATTGTTCGTTCTTCAAAGAAGTTGAAACAGATCTTGAAAGATGATATACTCAGCTGTGAAAACTGAACAGGCTTAGGTATATCCTTACTAATAGGACAGCAGTTTTAAAGCATTGAGTGGCTGTAACTTAAAGAGCTTAATTATTTCTTTGGATCTTTGTAGCATATGGTCTGCAGAGAATTGTTCTGGTAAAAGTGTATGTCCAGTGAATGGAGTTGGGGATAATCTTTCCATTAGCAAATGAGTTTGGTGAAGAGATCCAGAGTCAGCTTGATAGGATCTGTCCACAGAAACTTGAACATATTTTTCTCAGTTTAATCCTATTAACCTTGTCCTCCTTCATTTGATGTATCTCATGCATACTGTCTAAAAAGGGATTTCAAGAACTGTGATCAAGTGTAGCTTTCATTGAGGAGCTACTTTGAAGGAAAATCACTCATTTCAGGATAGGCAGGACAGGGATACCCAGGCTTGGTGGGCTTTTTTTTTGCTTTTTTTTTTTGTGGTGGTGTTCCTCTGTGGTTTAAAAAAAAAAACTGAACCATCAAATGCACTTGAGTTATACATTGCCATGAATGATGTATTTAACCCTCTCAGTGTTTACACTGGCATGATTACTGACATGAAAGGCAAGGGAAATAGATCAAGCCTGCACTGGGCAGAAACCTGAAAGGCTACAACAAGCAATGTCCTTGAGTGAATTGCAGTGCTTCAGGGTGATGCATTCAGCTGCTGTTTCTCACTGCCGAAATGAATAACAATGCTACAGCACCCCAACAAGGCACATCTTTAGTACCACTCTGGTTTCATTAGAGCCACTTACAGGTCTCTGTACGTCCTGTGGTCTGATGCTGTTTCCTCTCTGCTTTTCCTAGTCATTCTGGTCTATTCACTCTTCTTCTAGCCACTCTCCTACTAAAAGAGCTGGCTGGCAGGAGAACAGGGAGCTGGTATGGGAACAGGAGAGTTGTCAAGAAATTGTGTGCAGGTTTCAAAAGCAGGTGATGAATATTAGGACCACTTCTTTGTGTAGCAGAGCTTTACAGACTGTCTTTGTAAATGGCCTCAAAACCTGAAAGGGTTTTAAACATGCTAATTTCTTTGCTCTTAGTTCTGTTATTCTCAATTTCCTTTATCCATTTTTATGTGGATTTAATGCATCTAAGAGGCCAACGGCTCTGGAAACAAGTTCTGTATGTAGCCACAGATATATCCTGACCTGTCTCAGCCCTCAGTGAGTTGGGAAATCAGAAGCAGAGTGGAGAATTCACTCTGTATCCCTGCTCAGGCCACATTGGTGAAACTGCATGAATTTTTGTAGTGTGCTGGAGTTTTATTTAGCTTTAGGGTAAACTCTCTCATCAGTAAATACTAGGTTTTCCAGGCACCTAGTAGTCTTACTATTTAAACACATTTCAAGGGATCTTTTTCTCGGGCTTGTATCGGGCTTTCTCGGGATAACTTAAATACTTCATAGCCTCAAAAGTACCTTTTCTCCTCCCTTCCCCACCCCTGTTCTTTTATCTCTGTTCTTTTTTGGTAAACAGGTTGAAGAAATACTGTGGGAAGCAGTAGATCCATTGGGCAGTTGCAGTTTTTGGTGGACTGGACTGCAGTTGTCAGCTTCCACCGTATGTGTTTGGGCAGCATCAAGAAAAGAAGGTGCCAAAGCGAGCAGTGCTCTACTGCTGTGCTCCCTGCAGACCCTGATTCCCAAACAAGACAAACTCAGTTTCCTTAGGTGTTCTTGCCTCCTCATTGCAGCCTTAAATTGGGAGTAGTTCTGTCTTGCTTGGATTTTCATTGAATGGAATGTTGTTTTTTTTCTGTTGTAACAGTTGGTGGGAAAGATACCCAGGTATTTAAGGCCACAGTGAATTATTTCATTTATTCTAATCTGACCTCCAGCATAACACAGGCGAGAAAACATCACCGTGTGTTTTTTTCATCAGGTCCAGAGTTTGAACTTCCACCTCCTTGCTCACTGCATCTGAGCATCCCTCCCCATCCTTCAGGCTCATCCTCAGGTTTCTGCAGCAGAGTCTCAGTTGTTCGATTCCAGTAAAGAATCATTTAATAATTGAGTGGTACAGGCAAAGGGGCAGCTCTGTGCTGGTGCCACTGGAGAGGGACCTGAGCTTCTGATGGTGCTGACCTACTTATCTTCTTGTTTGTGCTTCTTATGTAGTTTGTTTCTTTCATTGTATGACAAGGTGTCGTGGTTTAAACCCAGTCAGGCAACTCGTTCACTCACCTCCCCCCCTTTCTTGCCCTCCCCCTGCTCCCAGAGGGACGGAGAGGAGAATCGAAAAGAATGCAACTCCCACGGGTTGAGATAAGAACAGTTTAGTAACTAAGGTATAACACAAATCACTACTGCTACCACCAATGATAATAATGATACAGGAAATAACAAGGGAAGAGAATACATCATCTCACCACCAGCCGACCGATAACTCGCCCCCCCCCAAGCCCGACCAAGCTCTGACCGATACCTCCTCCAACCCCTCAGTCTCCCAGCCCTTCCGGCTAACTCCCCGTTACATCCTGGGCATGACGTGCTGTGGTATGGAATACCTCTTTGGTCAGTTTGGGTCAGGTGTCCTGTCTCTGCTTCCTCCTGGCTTCCCCTCCTCCCTGGCAGAGCATGAGGCTCACAAAGTCCTTGGCCAAACCAAAACATCCTTGTTATCAGCTCTGTTCCCGAGCTGAAAGTCAAAACACTGCACTGCACCAGCTACCAAGAAGGAGAAAAATGACTGCTACTGCTGAACCCAGGACACAAGGATTTGCTAGGGAGTGGAGGGAAGAATCAGACTGCTGGCTGTTAACTGGTCATTCAGTCACCCAGTGGTAGGTGCATATAGCTGTAGGCTATCAGTTGAAGACTGCTGTAAATTCCAAACAATTCCAATTTCTTTTCTGCTTGATCTTTACACCTGTCATACCAGTGCTGGCTTTGGGCTGAAGAAGAAGTTAGCTTTGAAATGCTTACATTCTTTTCATTGTTGCTGCCCTTCCTTGTTCCCTCCTTAGACATGGGTGTGCTTGCTGAGTACTTTGAGTTAATCTTTTGTGCCAATGAAGTAAAATTCTGCAAGATATAAGACTGTTGTATGGCTGTGGCTTTCCTTTAGTCTTTAAACTTTGTGAATTCTGTGCAAATTTTGTTCCAGAAAAG